GTGCAGGGTGATAGAGTGATCCTTTACAACCTCTACAATCTACTAGCTGTCATTTAGTACATGGCGCAAGCTGATTGGTCTCTGTTGCATCTAGGGTTGCAAAGGGACAGACCATTTCTAATACTTTTCTGGAAACTTGCCAGAATTTTTGAAAGTTTCCAGAAATTTACTGGAAATTTTCTGCCAGTTTGCAATCATAGTTGCTTCTGCAGGCAATGAGATTGCTGCTCAACAGTTAAATGGTTTGATTCAGTTTTTTTCTGAATCATAAACCCTCCACCTCCCCCAGCACCGCCTGTCTAGATGTGCTATGGGTTATTAAATGTATTACATGCTCACAGGAGCGTGTCTGTGGATTTATTCGCAGTAGCAAGTCTCCATACTTGCTCTGCAACAGCAATAATCAACAGCAGCAGTAGCATGCATAGCATATCTATTCTGCCAAGATCAAATGCATTAATATTGTTATACCCATTACCATGCTAAACTATTCAGAAAGTTATCATAATAGAAATAACTGAAAGAGAGTGAGGGCCAAGCAAGAATCGAAACCAGGTGATCAGTCCAGATAGCGAACTGTTGACCGCAGAAAGGGCGATAATCAGGCAGGCAGAGCGGTCGAAAGTCAGATGCTGAGGAAACTTTAGGGACTGAAGCAGGACTTGTCGATGACAGACAGAGGTCGTAAATAAGCAGGCAATCCACAGACGAAAAACCAGGGGTCAGAGCCTGGTGGGACAGTCCAAAGGCTGTGAAACAAAGAAAAAAGATAAAGTTAAAGATAAAAGTTTGCAATGTGTTTCAGTTAAGCAGTTGAAAGAGATTTTGCTGTATATGCTGAAGTTTTAAAGATGGTGTCACATGTGTAATTAGAAGTGATTGTCACAATAAAGTGCAATCAACTAATTGTAATTGCAGAAAGTGCAGAAATAAATCATTCCAAGGGGTGATAAAACTAAGGCTAAAGACTAAAGACTCTATATGTAATTATACATAATCTATCATTAACTTTACAGTGCTAGCTCAAAGTGTAGTATTATTAGCTTGTAGTCATCCCACATAGACCTATAATTTTTCATAATTCTGAGTGAAACAATACATTTCATGAACTGCATTTTTATAATGTTTTTTTGAGGTGCACTTATAATGCTTGTACTGTACATCAAAAACTGCCATCATAGAAATAAAGGGCATTTTCTACCCCGATTCTAGTCCTCAGATTTGAACACTGTTTAAATGGATGGATCTCTTTTAAGACTTCAATGTAAAGACCCACTGCTATGATTAGCTGGCATCTTTACATATAAAATCAGTATTATACTTGGATCTCTTCTGAAAACTTTTACACCTGCCAAGATTAACTACGAATGAAAAGTGTTGATTATAATAATGTATTTAGATCTACTCCCATAAAAGGTTGCAGTGCTGAGCATTGTAGCCGATCACAGTCATGTTTGTTGAATGCAATGATCTCACGGTTAATGTATGCACTCTTACGAATGCTTTCATCATAACTAACACAGTACAAACGCAATGTAAATAAGAAATTCAGTAAGCATTGTAGTCATTGATTATAATAGAAGTGCAGAACTCAAATCAATGACAGACTCGCACTGAACTTGAAATCTCAAAATGCAAAGACAGTCTGACTTTGTATATTAGTTAAAGATACCTAGTTACATTATACAATTAAGATGCTTTTGATAAAATGTATTTGTGTACTTACATGAAATTCGGCAAAACTCTACTATATTCACATTTGCTGCTATTAAAGTAGGGATATGGTCAACAATATCATTACATATCTAATTATAATCAGATATAATTGACTGTTTTGGGATGTGCCTGAAGCCAAACACTGTATTCAGAAAGGCACGGAAAATGAACAATGCATTCTACGGAGCTCCTAAAGATACATGGTGATCGAAAAAAAATTAAGATGGGAGGAAAAAATATATTTCAATGCTTTTGCATTCTCTCGCAATTATATAGTTGGGTAATTATACTGTATATAATTTGCGGGCATCAGGGAGTCTCTACAGCCCCTTTCACACATACAGACTTTACTGGTAAATTACCGGTAAATTTCCGTTAAGAGATCATGTGTGAACAGGACCTTTTCAAAAAATACCAGTAAATTAATTCCGGCAATTTACCGGTATGAGACGTAACATTACCAGTAAATTACAGGTAATCTGCTCTATGTGAACGCAGAATGAAGATTACCGGTATGAGCACGTACGAGTTCAGAATGCGCTCACGTAAGACATCTACTCTGGGCCAATCAGAACATTCTGACGCAGATGACGCATTTACTCCGCACTGCGTAGTCCGGTTTGAAGTCGTCGAATGCGATGTCTTTGGGCAAAAAGCAGCTGCATGAATGTGAACTTTAACACAAAAATAAAAACATCAATAGAAGCACTGACCGCGTAAACCACTCCATGTTTACAAACACAACACCGGGATTCACAGCCATTTAGAGGTCATTTCTGGTCAATGACGTCACAGAATTTACCGGTAATTTGAAATTTTGTATTTACCGGTAAATTAATTCTGGTCATTTTTACAGCAATTTACTGGTATTACTGTGTGAAAGGGGCAGTATGCAGGGTATTAAAAATCATCTTTGAATTTGCGCTCACTTTCAACTTTAAATTTGCGATCATGCATACTCTGTGGGCCCTCTGAGTCCACACTTTGATGATGTAATTTGTCTACAGTATGCCCGAACACTGTGTAACACTGACTACCGCAGCAAGCCTAACCAGGTCCGTTTAGGGGCTCCGTTGAATGCATTATTCATTTTATGTGCCTTTCCGAATAAGGTATTCAGCTTCAGGCACATCCATAGTACTGTATGTATAATGTAACATCATATATGTATAAGTATACTGTATAAGTATAAATACAGGTGTAAATGGGGTCTAAAGCATTTTGGTTTAGTCCATTGTCGAAAACACATTTAACTCTTTCCCACCATTGACAGAATTTTCCGGCTTTCCGTGTTTTCACTGTTATATGGTAGGAGGTGCTATTACACATCTTCTAAAAGAGTATTGAACATCTGGATCAAAACACAGTGAAGTAGAAGCAGAAACATGCGATCGCGAATGTAAGCAGATGCATATGTAAAATAACACACTCATCAAACATTAAACAGCATATAAATCAAAACTGCCTAACATTACCAAATAAAATTTACAAAAAACATGATTTTCTCAGATTCTTGTTCAAAACATTGTTTTTTCATGAAGCTTGCCCACATTCAGGTGCTGATAAAAAAAGATTGCATGAAGCTAGAGCAAGGATTTTTTGTTTGTTTGTTTTTTTTAAAAGCAGAGGCTCTGTTCTTTGTTTTGGCATATTGCATGTTCAGATATTCATACAACAATATATTCTGGGGGCCATTAAACTTTTGTGAAAATTATCAAATTTGCTGGTGGTAGCTTGCAACTTTTACAAAAAATGCTAGCGGGGAAAGAGTTAGCACTACGACTAATTTCACTGACGTTTAAAAGGAAATTTGGAGATGGATATTAGATGAAAAAATGTCAACAAAATCTTACTGAAGAAAGTTTTTTCATCAATGTTTCCCCCTCTAAACTGGTAAATATGCTCCCACAGCTTGCTCGTCTTCCTAGTGGACATTTCTCCGAGCCCGCAGCAGGTAACAGAAAAGAAAGAAAATGCATGCATGCAAGGTCTGAGGTGAAATTAAATGTATTTGTTTTCCGCTCTAGATATCCACTTTTCAAAATAATGTATTCTTTTTAAAACTTAGCATTAGAATGACGAAATTTTTAATAGTCGACTAGTATTTCCAATGTTGACTAGCAGCAGCAGTTACGTTTAATCGGCTAGTCGACTAGTCTCGCATATCCCTACATTCAACCAGATTGCTTTTGTAGTGTAGTCACTTGTGTGGTCGAATGCATTCAAACAGCCACAAATGACCACCTCCACTTACTGAATAAATACATAATCATTGTAATAAAGTGCACCAAAACAAATGATTCAGACTTGGCTGCATTCTACCAAAACGCACAGATTACAGTTGAAAATGCAGCTGCTTTTTCACCCTATTCATTCGTTTCCTTTTCCAAAGACTCATAATCCATGTAACATGGCTTTGTTCAGTCAATAGTATTTGTGTGCCACACTCTCTGTTCCCCAAAAAGAAATGTTGAGTTTGTCTAAATTAGACTGGAGTGTCTCAAGGATACGAACAGAAGTGGTCACAAGAGATGCTTTTGAAATGCATTTAATACTAGGTGAGAACAGTGTGCGTCTCGGCTGACCACTTGTGATCAAATCAATGCATCTCATTACCAGGTGGAAATAAGAGTATAAAATTTGAGGCTACACAAAATGGGCTTTTGTTGAAGCTGTGTCTTTAAAGTCAACACAAAATTGAAATGTACCCTATTTGTTTGTGTTTGTGCACAATGAAAAAATGTCCTTATGATCTTGTATCAAAATGTAATAACTTTAACAAGAAAATGTAATAATTGTAACAACTTTCCAGAAACAAATACATCTTACTGTTTTAACCCAGGATTCATTCTGGTATTGGACCACTTTTCATGATCCAGTTAATTCTCAGTGGATTTTTTTAAAATCCTGTTTCACATCAGATTACTGAAGAAAAATAAGTTATGAATGCTGTTTCACATTGGCTTTAAACTACAATAGAAACATGCACGTAAAGGGCAAACCTGATAACAATGCATTGAAAGCTATGCATTGTTGCAGTGATTGACACTTTCTGTTCTGTCTGAGTATGTCGAGCAGATAGAATAATAGAGATTGTAGCACTCTCACTCAGCTAAATGTGTCAAAGTGGCAAATAAGCCTTCTGACAGCTACACTGGATCCTCTCTGACTCTGTCCACAGATTGTGGAGGAGGTTATTCATGTTTTGCTGGAGTGGGTGGGTGGTGCAGGTTCTGGAAGAGTGGAGTTCGACATCTAAATGTCAATCCTGCTTTATGTTATAGAGGGTTACTGCATGCCGGAGTGGGATGGCATCGTTTGCTGGCCCGAGGGTCTTCCTGGAAGGATGGTGTCCACTGCCTGCCCGGAGTACATATATGACTTCAACCACAAAGGTGAGCTTGCAGCCACTGACCTGTGACTAAATACGTGTCTAATGCACATGGCAACCCCTTGACAATAATGGACAACCTTCAGCATTCACAAATTTGGAAGCTGCCCCCTCCAGAATCGCTCCAAATTTTTTTCTTGTCTTTCAGACAAACATTTTGGAATATTTGACTTGACTTGTATTCACAACAAAAACAGGGTGTGTTTTCATAAATCAGATATATTGTGTACCTAGACGGTGAACTGAGATCTAGTCGTGCTGTTCCTAACTTCATTTATTAATTTAGCCCATGCCAAAGTGACAAGTACAGTAACTATGAGCAAATAATCCAAGGGAGAAAACAATACAAAGCAGCCCAGGCTCATTGGAAATATGTGCTTGTGGCGACTTTTCTGCAACACAGATATTACGTACTTTACTACAACTTTTGTGACAGTTTCAAAATGAAAACGCACGTTCAGTACGTGACCATGGCAACGTTTTTATTACATTGGTACAGGCACGTATTGCAGTGGTTCAGAATTCAAATGTCTGGGGAGTGTCCCTAAAAGGACAATGATCTATCGTGTTGGAAAATAACATTCCCCCTACACCAAACCCAACCGATAGTGTTAATGAATGCAAAAGTGATGTAACCGTGCTATTTTAACTTCCTTATATCTGGGTTTAAGCTGTTTTGTCAAATTAAATTAGGCTTGAAAATTAGGCTTTCTTTATCAAAACTGGCCCTGTCATCTTACTTTTTTGAAAAGGAATAAATGTTGTTAAGTTACTACCTCTTCATCCACCCCATTCCTAAAAATAACAACTACCTTACTGACGATTAATAAGCAGAAAAATAGGAGTTTTTTGAAGCAAAGTCATAGTTAATAGTTAATAGTGAGAATGGGTCCCCAAACTAAAGTGTCACCGAAATACTTGAATCAAATTCAATATTCTACTATAGGTTCATTTAGTTGAAATCAGTGTGACCAGCATGTCATGATTATTTTAACTATATTTGTACTGTATATGTCTCTATCTATAATTGCTGTTTCAAGATTCCTCAAAAAAATAAAGAAAAAAAAACCTTTATAAACCACTTCGAAGGAAATACATAAATATTGAACTGAATATCCTAGAAGGCTGAAGAATCTCTAAAACTCACATACTTTTGAGACAAAGAGCACCCAACATATTACTTTCCATAAAAGTTTTTTTTATATGTATTTGGTTGTACTTTGTTGATTCTTGATTTAACGCAATAATTGAACACACTGTTTTAATAGGTGAAGTTCTCTAACAGTTGTACTGACAGATTTTGCATCATGGTTCAAACTGCTTTCCAAACAAGCTTCCTTGCTAAGCAGTGTTTGCAGTAGTGCTTTAGAGATCTATTAATTACACTACATACGAAAGCACTAATTGGACATCTTACTCAAATCTGTCCGCAGTTGCATTTTTTTAAATTGTATTCCTTTTATCAATAATTTTGTCCACATTTGTAGCACTTTTTGATGATGGCAGCAAACATTGACCATAGCTCTACCCTGTCTGTCTGAATGAGAAATCAATGCATGCATGTCCTAAGTCAAGACACGATTGCTTTGTTAGAGTATGTTTGTGCTGTATCCACAGGACATGCTTACCGGCGCTGTGACATCAATGGGACCTGGGAGCTGGCGTCAAATAACAACAAAACCTGGGCTAATTACAGCGAGTGTGCCAAATTCCTCCCCCATTATAATCCGGACCAAGAGAGGGTAAGGCCTTCGACCTTACAGTTGCTGTCATCAACTATAGTCAAATTTGCATACACAAGCATTTTAAATATGTAAATTTGATTTAATGTACCATTACCCAAAACTGAACATTCTGATAATTTGCTGATTAATTCAGAATGTATTAGTTTATGTCTCATGTTATATTCCTCATGGTGTCTGCTAAAATTTTGTTTTATGTAGATCAGGCCGCTTGCACTGGGCAAATAACATTGAAGCAAACAAACATATAAATGGATGCAATGCATGGAAATGTACCTGGACAATGACTGAAATTATATTCTTTTGAAATATCCTTTCTCTCAAACACTTGGCTCCAGTTACTTCTGTTGCTTCACTCAATAAACAACAACTGTGCTAATATTAGTGCGTTAACAAATAACTTCTTAGTTCAATGCATTATGTTAACTACAGAGACTCTTTTAAATGTACAACTAACTAACCATTAAATATTTAAAATAAACACGTTTTTTTTTCCATTTACTCAAAATTACAGACTTGAAATAAGCTGAAAACTAGTAAATTAACTTGAGCTGATATAATAATAATAATAATAATAATAATAATAAAACATTGACTTCATAAACATTGACTTCATTTAAATAAAAAATTAAGATAAATGAATTTTGTGTAACCACAGAAATATTTTTTTCAGTGTAATGTTTAATTAATCATATTGATTATTTAATTAGTAGAACAGTTCCCTATTGATGATTAAGATATCTATACTACTTTTTATAAGTAATTAGTTAATAATTAATGCATTAAGAAATGTTAGTTAGACCTAATTTAGTGTGTTAATAGCTGTTAAAGTTAGGTTCTCTTTACTCAACATGGGATGAAATCAAACCAAACAGATTGAGTTCAAATTGTTACTTTTAGTAGATTCTGTGTGTTTGTTTTACACTCATGTTACAGCACAGCTAAAAGTTACTGTAAACTATTAGCTGAACTTAGGCAATATTTTTTAGTTATATCAGCTCCGTTATATTCCTATTCATTAGTTTCCAGTATATTCAAGTATATAATTTTTGAATAAACTGAAAAGCCTGTTAGTGGTTGATGTTCAATAATGTTAAGAGTCTGTGTAGATAACGTACATAACAAAGAATGCAAATTCAACAAATACGTAAGTTACTTGTCACTGTACTAACATTAGCACAGCAATTGCTCCTTGAGAGCAGTAACACACACTATAGTCTTTAATCATGGAGCTGCCCACAAACTAAACACAGACTCTGCTCTTCAGCACAATGATAACCACAAAAACCTACAGAAACTCTTTTAAATGTCAAGCACAAATGAACATTCAACTCTAAAAGATCTTTATTTTTTTCCTTGACAAAAAACAATAAAATAGTACTTATTTTCAACATCTACTGCCCTGATTCTAGTACTGTGAACTAAACATCTGATGCCCAGTTTCAGTTAATGCAACAAAAATAAGTCCCAACGTAAGTGGAGGAGGTAAACGTCAGTTAATGAGCATAATTTACGTAGAAAAGGCATGCGTGTGTGTGTAGAGAGATTTAAAAACCGAAGACGCAGCACATTTTCAACATTATGCATGCTGAACTGGATTGCAGGTGTTTTGTGAATACGATGCAGGTATTTGTGTGCAAAAAGTGTTGCAACTGATCAATAAATTCCTCCCTTAGTTGTTTAAATTTTGATTTGGTCCTTACTCAAAGCTATCGTGGCTTTAGAAGACATGCAGACTTGGAACAACATGAGAAGACTTTCTTTCTTACTCCTTTAAAGGTCAAACCACATTGTGTGAACACAGTTCATTAGTCATCAACGTTAACACTGAAGTCTTTTGTTTGTTTAGTTTTGTTTCGATTTGTTTCTCTCATCTGTGCTTTTCATTTTGGTGTAGATGGGCAAAGAGCTGAGCTGTGGGCTTAACTATGTATCATTTAGATGAGGAATTCACATTAGCTGAACCCTACGTGGTATTGAAGGTGGGAGAGAGCGCTGTACATTCACTCCCCCCACCTACAATCCCTGCCTGTACGAGACTCGAACCCACAACCTTTGGGTTACGAGTCCGACTATCTAACCATTAGGCCACGACTTCCCCGAATTATTTGGATGTTCCGATGAAGTGGATCATTAAGGTGATTTGCTGAAATTCAGTTCAGACATTTTCTGTTATGTGTATCGCTCATCTGATTTGTTCATTTGTTAACAGGTGTGAGTAGATGAGGAGTTCTGGATCAATTTATTCATAGCGATTCTGTCACAAAGACTTTTCAGATTAGCTTTTCAGATCCTTGGTTGCTCACCGCACAAAAATAATTTGTTCAAATAGTCAATTATGGTTTCTATGGTTAAAGTTTTTATTTGCCACTTTTTTGGAAAATATTTTCCTTTGATCTGTAATGAAGTCTAGAGATCTATATTTTGAGGTCATGCCTTTTTGCTTCCCAACTCTCAAGAGCCACTTCTGAAGTTAATGACAAATTCATCCATGCAAATGAAATGCTTTGGAGTGCAGCGACTCGACGGCACAAACACGACGCTGGTTTGGCCATCGCCTCTCATGCTAAATGTTAACAGCTGACAAATCTCTTGTTGTATCAGCGCCAGATTGCTCTCCTCTAATGCATATCACTGATCCAGCTCGCTCAGTCAGTGCGGTCGCGATGTGAAGTTACTCGGCTGCCTACAGCACGAAGTAATCGCAGTTGAAAGTGTGGCTGCTCACCGCTCAGCTTTTGTCGGTTCTCTGAACTTCAAGACAAGAGGCCGTGAGCAGACACCTTAGTCACCGGGTGTCAGCTTGCTCTCCAAATAAACAGTTGTGATTCTGGCGGAAAAACTGCCGAAGGCAGAGATTCGATTGGTAATTTCTTTAGCAGCTCTGCTTTCATTTATACACCAAAAGATGCAAATACTTGAGCTTTTAAGCCCTAACAGAAATTTGACAGTGCTGGCATGTGTTTTCAAGTGGTGTAAATAGCAGTAAACATAAAGAAACTGGGACTGTTTCAGACATGGTCATAATATACTGCGTTGAGATGAAGAAAAAAGTTTAAGTTTCCAGATTTTGAACTAGTCTAAAGAAAAATAGAAGATAATGTGTCTTTTAAAAACATGTTATGAGTCTTTGTCATAAATTCCTACAACTGCTTCAGAGTTGGTAATTAGCTACACCTGATTGAGTTTACAAGTCATTTTTAGGAGGGGGTTATGACATGTTAAATCTTTCACTTGTAAATACAGCTGGATAAAACAAAAACTGTGTCCATCTTCATTTGCAAAGCAACAAAATGTGATTATTTTAAAGGGGTGATTATTTTCTATACCCACTGTATGTAGGTTGAAGCTTAATATGATTTCACTTTCAAAAATATATTTATTTAAGCTTCACTGTTTTTAGCATTTATTTAAAATATGTTTTGGCCATTTTTTTTTTCCTGAATGACAAATAACAGAGTTACTTTTATGTTACAGCATTACTGACAAATTATGACTAATTTACCAAATATTGCAAATTAAAATGTACCAAACAAACAAAGTATGCATTCGCATAGTTAAAAATAAATAATGATAAAGATGATGAAATACAAAATGTACTGGCATCACTGCTAATTGCAGCTACTTTATATCATTTATTATTATTAATATCAATTTTATTTATTTATTTATTTTTCAATTGTCAGCCCTAATAAATGTTCAATATATGATTAGATTACTTGTCTGTTTTATACAACCATTCTAATTTGCTTAAACACCAAGACCTACAGCCTGCTCTGTTACTGGCGCTGTTATTTGTTAGCTCTTGTTCTCACTTTCTTATTTTTGTCTTTATTCTCAGGAGGTTTTTGACAGACTTTACCTGATCTACACGGTGGGCTACTCCATCTCTCTGGGATCACTTATGGTGGCGACATTCATCCTAGGATACTTTCGGTGAGAAAAACCCACCTCCTTGTTTTCACAGAAAGGATTGACGAAACCCTTCACAATGAAGAATCTAAAAAAGCCATTTTAAGGGCTCTTTCCTCAGTCTGGAGGCTGTGCAGAAATGATATTGCCTGGACAAAAATATCATATCAAACAAGACGTGTATGCATAAACTATTCCAGCATTGTCTGTTTTATTAAAATTTTCCATAGAGTTCTTGCATAAAACTTGCCAACAGCATGTAGCATGCCTGCAAGCTTTTAACACTACAAGTGTTGCATAACACAACTATGCTGCAGAAAATTGAGCGATTTACGGCCATAAATTATACTTTTTTATAAATATAATGCTGAGAAAAAGTCAGAATTGTGAGATGTAAGCTTGCAATTGCGATAAAAAAGTCAGAATTGTGAGATAAAATGTCACAATTGTCTTTTTAAATTTTTTTTTTATTCAGTGACGGAAACAGACTTCCATAACTCGATGATAAATAGAGCTACAGTGCATACAGTTTAGCATGTGACACGGAGCAGAGGTTCAGTGCCAAAACTCTTCTTGCAGTGTTGCTTTTCCTTCACAACATTTGCTGCTTAAATATTGCAACCTGTCAATATGGGCAAATAAATTAGCATTGCTTAAACACCACAAATGTGTGAAATTGGTCTTAATCAGGGCTCTTCTACAATCTAAATACAACATACATGCCCCATTTTGCTGACATCTAGATTTGTTTACTTGATGCAAGTTTTATGATATCCACATGTAGACTTTGTCTAGTTTAGATGCATTTATCAAGGAGTCCAGCTGACTGTCTGCTAGCTGCCGATGTTTACATATTGCTTTGAAGTAGAAATGATTTACAATAAACTAAATGACTTTGAGTCATTTTTTTGGTTTTTCAAGTTGCGTTGATGTGTGCTTTTATGGCCATGAAACATGATCAGAACAATTTTTCGTGTAAATCATTTGTAAAACCCATTTTGGTAACACTTTCTTTTAAGTATACAGTAACAAAGCACAAATCAGATGCAAACTATTAGTTTGTAGTTAATGCATAGTTTATAAACTGCTGTCTCAATAAATTAATACGTTATGTACAAATAGTGAGTCCTTCATTCTTTGTCACAGTAATCAATGAATTATTACTCTTTAAATAGCTCATTATAACTATGGGAATTATAATCCATTGTGAGTTAAGTGGATGCATTGTGTTCACTGTGTATTATAAATCATCATAATCTTAAAAACTATAACCACAAATAAGTAAATAGTATAATGCATTAAAACTGTTGTTATGATTACTCATGAGATGATACAACATATTATAAGGTTTTTTTTATCATGCATTATGCATTCATTATAATGCCTTAAGAATACTCCTATAATGTATTATAAATACGGGCTTCATAAGAAGTGTTACCGAAGTTTTTAATGGTTATCCAGAGTTAATAATTCTCACTTTAGATTAGTCCATGGAAAATACTAAATTAAAAACGATAACATTTATTACAAGCTAATTGCATTAATAGTGAGTACTATATATAATATTACAAATGTTAAAAATTTAATCGGCAGAAAATTGTACAGTGACAATAATTACGTAAATATGCAAATACTGAATGCAGTGCTGGGTAGGTTATTTACAAATTGTAGTCTGCTCCTGATTACAAATTACATGATGACAATTGTCGTCAGTAATGTAATTTAGATTACTCATTTTAGGTCATGTATTCTGACTACTTTTAGATTACTTAAGACCTAACTTGTTTAAAGATTTGAATAACTTGACATTATTTATTGTCGTTGAACGCAAAAGTATGAATGGGATTAGTGTTATAAAAAAATTTAATCATGAAATGCTTTAAAGATTACATTACTTCAGGGATTAAAAGTAAGTGTAATCTGATTATGAGCATTTAAAACATAATGTAATCTAATTCCAAGTACTACATTTCTGATTACATAATACAAATGTAATCAATTACTACCCAGCACTGACTGTATGTGTTCGTGTCGATGCAAACGTAAGTGATTGTGTGTTACATAAAATACATTCAGATACTCATGAGATCACGTTGTTATAGCTAAGACACAATGAGTACGCTAATAAAACAATTATTGATTAGTAAGCGTAACATTAATAATTTGTAAATTACAGTGACAGTGAATGATGAACTATGAACGTTTTCCAAATGAACTGCATCAAATGAATGTTTCTCTAATATTTCTCCCAGCGTGTGTACTGGCCCTTTTTCAGTATGAAGAAATATGAGTGCATTTATTACGTTTGCGTTCAGTCGTTCGGTTTTCATTATTAATTAATGCAAAGAGGTTTCCTTCGTTATTTATCCAGTGGGCTTATTCGGGTCGTGTGCGGAACGAGCTGCTGACAGGTGCCAAGATTAGCTTGACTCGGCTCCTGTGCTCCGTGCTCTTAAGAGCCAGCTCACTGCTTGGGCACCAGGAAATGCAGGTCAGGAAAATGACTTTAATAAGGGCTCGTTTGGGCTGTTGCTGATCCACTGCCAGCGTTTCCATGCTCTGCGCTCACAGTGTCAGTAGTATGGTCTCAGGTGCATGTGCTCCAGGACATCAGTCATGCGGCACGGTGACTCTCAAACATTAGCTCCAGTGTTTGAGGCACGCTTCGGGAAGCCAGGCTCTACACGGATCAGCTCTCCTGAGCTTCCCGATCAATAGTTCCCAATGGGACGGTGGTTAAACAGCAGTTAGTCTAATGACGAGCAGGCAAGCGATTCCGACACAGCCGCTCTAAACCTCTCCAGAGGAGAGAGCGGAATAACAAAAATAAACCCGAAAGGTTTCATATTTTAACGTGCTTGGCTGCAGAAGAGACCGAACTGAACACCTGAACTGTGCATTTTCAGAGTATTAGTAAGAAATAACTCAGATTTTTCTCTGAATTAACAAAAATAGGAATGGATGCTGATCACAAAAGAAAATGACAATTTTATGGCTCAGTTTATTGTTAGGATGACAAAAAGGTTTAAAAGTTACATTTTTAGCCAATGTAACTCTCGTCAATGTCAAAATGATTAGAATGGCCAATCAAATGAAAGTAGGCGGGGTTTACGGTTCACCGAAGCAGAGCGTGAATTCCAGTGCAAAGCATCAGTTTTAAGGTTGAAAGAATCTGAGGTAAGATGGAAGTAGTAAAACATTTCATATTTGACAACTGTATTATGATAGAAATGTTAAACGACTGACAGTAATAGCCAGTGATATTTTCTTTTTACTCAAATTTCAAAATACATCAAATTTTGAATTGAAAATCATTCCTAAATAAATGTGACGAGACAAGAAACGTTTGGCATTTTCTACACACTGGGCATACAAATAATAGTTAATGTGTGCATATTTAAAAAATATATATTATTTGCAAATTTCCAACTAGAATTAGACCTATAATTTCCTTCACCTTTCTATTTCTTTGTATTTTATAAAACAAATTTGACCTGGTTATGGCCTTGGTTGACTGTTTTATATATATATATATATATCCCTAATTTGAAATCAACTTTTCTTAATGTAATTTCTCCTAGAACTTTCTGTAACACTTTACATTAGGGAACATGTACTCACTATTAGTTGAGAATTATCCCTCAGTTAACTCATAATCTGCTGATTATTGATAGTAAATAAGGTAGAAGTAGTTGTAGTTATGTTTAGGTATTGGGTAGGGTTAAGGGATCTAGAATATGATGATGCAGAATAAGGCATTAATATGTGCTTTATAAGTACTAATAAACAGCCAATATGCTAGTAATATGCATGCTAATAAGCAACTAGTTAACACTGACTAATGTTTCCTAATGTAAAGTGTTACCCAACCAGCTAACTGCACTCTAGTACAGGGTTCTCACAGCTGTGGAAAATCTAGAAATATTATTGCATTTCAAATATGTTTTCCAGGCCTGGAAAAGTCATGGAAACAAAATATTTAAAAGAAAAAGTTTTTCTGAGCGTGACAAAAAATATTTTTTATAAATCATTATGCAGTCATCTAGGGCTCTCTTTATGTCAGATTTTCACTTCACAATTATCGTGGCCAATAGACATTGCCATCAAAAGTACAAAATCAGATGCTTAACGGTGCTTGTTCACGTGAGTGACGAATGCTCTGAATTATAAAAGCCGTTATCTGAGAGAAGATTATTCAAAGTGACGGTTGTTTAGTATGAAAAGAGCAGCAATCAAATGACTTGGTCTTATTGGTAAAGTCTTAAAGTCTTATTGGTAGTATTACATGCTTTTGCACTTACTGCTGATCTGCACTTCCTGTTTACAATATTGATTGTTTACAATATTGTCATATCTGTACTCTGTAGTATTAACATGAAAAGAATATGTAAATATCATGGTTATCATCAATTCAGGTATATTTCGACAACTAGCAACCCCTCAGAACACTCAGTAAATCATACCAACAATCATAATAATAAGGACAATTAATTTTGATTCCATGTTAACTTTAAAATATCACACAGTTTGTGGTGATTGTCTGGTGTTGGACCCACAATTATTACAGATTTTTGAAATTGTACTCTTATAGCACAAATTGATCTGTCATTCTCATGAGTTGATCTTGTTTGCTATTGATTGCTATCTGTGTTGAATGAAGGGGGCATTTTAGTGCAGACATTTAGGTGCCTGTAATCTTTTAGTTGACCTTTTGAGACAAAAGTTCCCTATGACATTAGCTCCGATGTCTAATGTGATCTCATGAATAAACATACAGTATGCATTTGATTCTAGCACACATATTGTTTTATACGTTAGCATAAACACTGAAACATACAGGATGGATATGTTGGCAGCATCTAAAACGCAAACTTCTTTACACATCTGAAGAAATGTACAAATTAGTCATTTTAGGTTCATTGAATACTGAATTGAGTTGAAAATATCCATACAATAGTATATTACAACTAAAATATTTGTCACTGTGCATATTTACATATGTATTATTAGTTAACTATGCATTAAATTATAATGTTTTTATATTATTGGTATAGATTTAGGTAGAGGTGGGTGAAGGGCAAACTATCTATATAATATAACTATACAAATATATTTATAATATAGGGATTTGTGTAGATTTTTACCTATTGACAGCTGTAATGTAAATATCACTTCAGGCTGCAACGTCATTTCTTTCAGAGGACTGCAAAAAAATCTGGAGGAGCTTTTACTTAATAGACTTGCTCCGGTCAAACTAGTTTGAGAGAGTGTAGACAAACCTTAAGGGAATTTGGGTAACACATGCTTGCAATTTTGTTTTTATAGCTTACATTTTGAGCCCTACATTTTCAACATTTGTGCTTTCTGACCATTTTAAATCCAAATAATGTGTTACAGTCAGCAGCAGACTCATCTGGCTCTAATTAAGATGAGTATTGTTCTTCTAGCCTCTGTGAAAGGGCATTGGAGAGCAGCTAAACACACACACACACACACTCACACAGCTCCAAGTATCTGCTATTGCACGGTACTAATCTGCAACATTCTGGTCTGTTCATGTACTTTGATACCTCACACTGTTCACGACTAATTACCCTTGTTTGACCTCATTTCTCTTTTGTATCTTTTATTTTTCAGGCGGCTACACTGCACCAGAAACTACATCCACATGCACCTGTTTGTATCGTTCATGTTGAGGGCCATTAGTATATTTGTGAAAGACGTGGTGTTGTACTCGGGTGCCGCGCTGCAGGAAATGGAGCGTATCACTGTGGAGGATCTCAAATCCATCACAGAAGCCCCTCCTGCCAACAAAACCAAGTTTGTAAGTGCAGCAAACATACAATCATATCTAACAGTGAAGTCCATAGCAGAGAAATCCCACACTGTGTTGTTGCCATAGTAGTAGTTTGGGAGCATCGCTATCCTCTGAAGCCATTTGTTGTTGACGTGCCACTAAGATGCTCCTGTAATTTCCACATATATGCGTAACCAGGAAACAGAGTTTTCAATTAAGCTTAATGTGGATTAAATTAATTTCCTTTTTAATTAAACATTATAATTAAGACTATTATAGTAACTATGGTAGTTACTCATACCCAGTAACAGGAAGGATTATGGATATTCTAATTTGGCATGAATATGGGTCCCAAGCCATATCCAGAGACCAGGATATGATAAATATTTGAGGGTATGCCCTTTTGACTTGGACCAGTAACCGGCAGCCGCCCAGATCCCTTTCGATTGAGGTTCACTCTGCATTGCGTCAGTAGCTGGCGCTATAGGGAACACCATTTTCCCAAAATTCTGATGCCTTATTGAATCACACCAGTGTCTCACACTGGCCAATGGCATTGGAGTGTGCCAAATATTTGAACAAATGTTTTAATGCCGTCTTGCACATCACTGATCAAAAGTCGTAGTTAATAGTGAGAACTGGTCCCCAAACTAAAGTGTGACCATTAAATGTTTTAATATGTCAGCTGAAAATATTGCACCACGAGCCTTAGAGAAATGGCATTTCACCCCATCTTTATACTTGTATATGGCTGGTGTGACAATAAAGTTCTCTTGAATGTAAAGTGGTGCCAATGCCATATCCTCAGAATCTTTCTCATTCAGATGTAGACTGAGGACTGGACACCTTAACTAAAGTGTGACCAAAACTCATAACATAAATTTTCTGTCATGTGTGAGAACCACAACATTTTGGTTCCCCCGTGTGAGGCCTATTGCAACACTTTCCCCACAGGGAATGGGTGAAGTCTGCACACTGAACTGCCTTGACAATTAGCTGTTGATGGCCTAATGAGAGGCGACACTGTGCAAACACACAGACCTTTCTTAAGGACTGTTTCGTTGCCTTATGTTGTGCTTATTGGGCACCAGTGATCTGATGTTGCTTTCTATAATAATAATGAGCACTAGTGAAAGATTAATCATGCAGATGAGCTAGTGCACATCATCAGTGATGTATCCTGCGGTCATTGGGTGTTTCGGGTCATTCAACATCATATTCCCTCGCCTAGGCGACCCGGCCGGAGTTTATCAGACCCAGGCCTGCGTCCCAGCAGCATTTGCCCATGGTTCTGCCTTCTTAATCCAAAGCCACCTAGTGGCTTTCCCTGTGGCTTCGGTTGCAGATCTGATAGCCTTTCTCTTTGCCTTCCCAGTGATGCCTAGTAGTGTAAACACTTTGCAGAGTGGCTGCCCTAAAAAGTTTGCCAGCCCGGCCTCCTGCACTCTTCAACTAGCTCCTGGTGCTTGGCAGGCTTCCTTTCATTGGGAAGCCACCACTGTTAACTGTATATAAAGATGCCTGTGTTGCTGTAGTCCATGTTATAATTGATGTGCACCAGTAATGCTGCTGCAATTCTGCTTATACTATAATATTATGACGAGTGGCCGGCTGCTTAACCACTGATGCTTGTGCAACTTCTGTATGGTGTTGGCAGTTGCCACCACCTCAATGTTTCATGTAAAATATTCTTCCAAGACACCACTCTGTGAGCTGGGTCAGTTCTACACTGATAATGCAGCGTGATGATCATATGATCAGCTATCGATGCAATGAACCAAAGTCAAAAAGGACAGTCTCTGGTTACTCTCGTAACCTCACTTCCCAGAGATGAGGGAATGAGACATTGCATTTGCTGTCTGTGTTACTGTACTCGAGTAGAGCTCACCAGTTATTCCTCAATCAAAAGATTCTGAGGATTTGGCGTACTTTATATAGGCTGAGAGCTGCCTCCATTTGGCGTGCTTGAATGCCGTTGGTCAGTGTGAGACACTGGCGTGATTCAACAAGACTTTTTTGGAGAAAGGTTGTTTTCCATAGCTCTGGCTACTGACGCCACGTCTTGTTTCCTCATCTCAGAGGCAACCTCTCACATTTTCTTGCAAAGCTTGTTTTAAATTGTCCTTGTATATAAACTACAAATGTCGATTTTTGAGGGTGAGTCAAGTTACATATAGCTTGTAACTCAAAACCTAATGAAGGTGAAATTGGAACACATGCTTCTAATCAATATGTGCTGAATCGATTTTACTTTACCCTTTAAGATTGGATGCAAGGTGGCTGTCACTCTCTTCTTGTACTTCTTGGCGACTAATTATTACTGGATTCTGGTGGAAGGCCTGTACCTGCACAGCCTTATCTTCATGACCTTCTTCTCAGACAGGAAGTACCTTTGGGGCTTTACTCTGATTGGCTGGGGTGAGTAAACAATCTTCTTCATGTAGACTCATGCCCAAAACACAACACTAGGACATAATTATTCGGCTTCTGGCTACAGACACCAAATCATCCAAAATATTTAATCAGTGCTTTCAGTGGACATCTTCTCCAGTTAATTTAAATTAGCTGTCAATTTGTATATCAAACAGATTTTTAATTTTACTCTTGAACAATGGCAAGAGTTACTTTGAGGTATTGCTAATTGTTTCCAGTGCAGCACAGTGACATGCGCTATATCTCTTAGAGACAACAGCAAATGTGTCTGCATTTGTGGATTTAATTTGGACTCCACGGCTCCTGCATTGTACACACTGTGCGGAAAAGATGTACATGCACAGCGCATACAATGTGGATGCTGTGGAGCTAAACCACTTCTCTGTTGCTTAAACCAGTGTTGCAGAGCCAGGGCTCAACTATAGGGTTTTGTTGTTGATGTTATTTGTTGTGTTTTTTTCTGCTGGGCCAGTACTTCAGGTTTATATATAAATGCTTTGCCAGCATTTTCACCACCACCACGAAACAAACAAACAAACAAAATGTTTAATTCATTTATTATTATTATTATTATTATTTGCAATACAAGAACAAATAAACTTAGTTTATTCATCTAAAAAGCACTTCTGTATGTAGCAATTTGAAAGTGAAGGTCACTAAAGGTTTCATTAAACAGGTGTTCCTGCAATGTTTGTAACCATCTGGGCCAGCGTGAGAGCCACTCTTGCTGACACTGAGTAAGTGTTTGTGCTTCAAACTGTTTGCCAATATTGCCACGTGTGCATTTATACAGGAATGCAATATTAATTCAGCCTGCGGAACAAATACAATATTCTCTACATGGTAAATAATGTATGCACATGCAGGATGTTTTGCAAAAGACTCTAGAAAATAAAACACAGTATCTTTGTATACGATCTATTAAATATTAATAGGATGTCTGGATTGAGCTTTCTCTCATCTGGTTTATGATCTACAGGTGCTGGGATTTAAGCGCAGGAAACCTGAAATGGATTGTGCAGATCCCTATTTTGACAGCAATTGTTGTAAGTTTACATAAATAACAATAAGAAAGAAATTCATAAGTAGACACTTATTTAGACAGAATTCTTTAGATAAAAAGTTTAGTATAAATACAGTCAAGTGTGTACAAATTTGACTGTTAGTTCTGTTGAGCTTCATATGATTCATTCATGTGTCTCAAGTAAATTGCAAATATTATATTTATTTGTCAGCCAGTTCCATGAATACACTGTAAGAATAATTTGTTAATGCAGTTATGTCATGTGCCTATTAGATATGTCTTAATTATGATGCATTAATAAGTGCATATACTTTTCCCCCAAAGGTTAATTTTTTGTTGTTCCTGAATATAATCCGAGTCTTGGCAACAAAACTTAGAGAAACAAATGCAGGAAGATGTGACACCAGACAACAGTATAGGTAAGTGTGTGTGTGTGTGTGTGTGTGTGTGTGTGTGTGTGTACAGTATTTATGTGGAATTCACTGAAAAAAAAAAACCTGAAAGCAAAAAATGTTTACAATCAATTGAATGGGCTGTCAAGGGAAATCAAAATTGCCAAAAGTAATTTATAATATAAATGTACCCAACTGTTCAAAAGTTTGGGTCAGTAAGATTTTTTATTGTTTTTGAAAGAAGATTCTTATGTTCATCATGGCTGCATTTATTTGATCAAAACTACAGTAAAAAAACAAAATTTTGTGAAATATTATTATAATAACTGATTTCTATTTTAATATATGAAGAAATTAATCATTTAAAAATATATTTTGGTGTATTCACTGGTGATTTAAGTGCATTGTTGTTAATAGCTATATTTATTTATTAGGAGCATCTGTTTGATCAATGGCACACAAGAGGGGTTTTCAGGCACTCCTCCCTTATTAATGTACATACATGTGCAGTTGAACTGTTGTATAAAAGCAAAATCTGTTATTATATATGGCTAAATCGTGTGATTTTGTCCATATACTGTACATATTGCAGTTCATTGTACTCAAGTGTGCTGTTGTCACGAACATTAATGAGAATTAATGAGTTGATTTAAATGGCTGTGAAGAAGCAGTAAATGTGTAGCTTAAAAATGGCAAGATTGCGTATCTCCTATTTCCAGAAGAAAACTCACGAGGCTTGACCAGAATATGACCCTTTGAGAAAACACTGTGTCTGTCTTTCATTATTATTTGCAGGTATTTATAGAAGAATGTAGAAAAAAGTTGAAACAACTTGTTTTTAGCTCTGGGTAGATTACTTACAAATTGTAGTCTGTTACTGATTCCAAATTACATGACAAAAATTGTAGTTAGTAACGTAATCCATTACACATTTACGGTAATATAATCAGATTACTTTTAGATTACTTTTGACCTAACTCACTTATCACATTGATTTCATTAGGATAATGTTGTACCATATTGATTTAATTCAATCATAAATTTTTTTTTAAATAGCAATATGTAAAATAAAACACTTACTAAAAGAGATGAAATATTGTATTTGTTTACCTGCATGTGATGTGACCATTAAGCAATGCCAGAGAACCGTGAACATGCAAACGTGTTACTTTTCAGACATACGTCAAGAAAATATATTAGGTGAAAGAGGTTTATATGAAAAAAAATGCAATAAAATTTGGGAATCCCTGCATTATAAATGATGTGAATTTGTGCATTTTAATGTGTTTGAAAGACAAAAGTCTTCAAAAGGCATAATAATACATGCTTAATAAATAACCCACTGAATGATAATTCAAATAACCATTGATATGCTCATTAATTAACATATATTCTCTTAACCAACCCCCAACCCATAACATAAAGTTGGTAACCCTCTTGAAATATTTTATTTGTCCATTGTTAGATTTTAAAGTGTTGTAGGATCCTACAACAATTTAAAATTACAATTAATTGGTATGTGTAGAAATTTTCATAACTTAAGTATTATAAAGTATTAAAAATATATACAATTATTCTTAGTTGATGTTAACTATTGTGTTAATGAATATGCAACTATATTGCAGTGTTACATTAAATAAAGTAATCAAACAAAATTTGACATTACAATATCATGCACTTTCCCAACTAATCCTAAACTGAATTAACATATATTCTCTTAACCAACCCCCAACCCATAACATAAAGTTGGTAACCCTCTTGAAATATTTTATTTGTCCATTGTTAGATTTTAAAGTGTTGTAGGATCCTACAACATTTTAAAATTACAATTAATTGGTATGTGTAGAAATTTTCATAACTTAAGTATTATAAAGTATTAAAAATATATACAATTATTCTTAGTTGATGTTAACTGTTGTGTTAATGAATATGCAACTATATTGCAGTGTTACATTAAATAAAGTAATCAAACAAAATTTGACATTACAATATCATGCACTTTCCCAACTAATCCTAAACTAACTTTTCTTCACTGAATATTATATTTGACCTTGTCTCCCTCAACGGCCACCGGAACCTTCCGGGATACGTGAAGAATGGCTCGGTCTCTGAGAACTCCATCCCGTCCTCGGGTCAGGAGCTCCATATACAAGAGGAAGAACCTTCGAAGAACGTCCAGGTGGAAAAAAACATCCCGGTGGTGGAGGAGGAAAGAGAAACAGTCATGTGACTTTACAAACCTTAATAAAGACAATGAAAAATGTCGAAGGATTAGACAATCCTTTGTTTCTCAGGATTTCCTCACAATTTGGGTTGTGGGACCATCTCAGATGTACAGTTGGAGACACGGTGACTGACCTAATGGACCAGATATGATCCGTGTCTTTTAAATGTCATCATCATCATCATCTTCATCTTCACCAGCAGCATTCGGAGGATGACAACACATTTTGGTTTTAAAAATTGTGGTCAACACATTGTGAACATACAACGCCGGTGCTTACATGTTGTCAGATCACCTCCTTAGATGAAGAACGGTGAGTTTGCTTCAGGATCAAGTTATATGAGAAATATATGTCAATTGTAAATAAGATACTCATGATATATATAAAATGTTTTTAATATAATGTTATTTACAGATGCAACTGCCAGTAGGGACACTCTTTGTGTTATGATAGCAGGTTTTTGTTAGTAGAATGTGATATTTCTGTGTCTGCTTATTCAGTAGATTTGCCAAATCTTGCCAGACTATCTTTTTTTCTTCATGAGTCTGACAGTGAAAACAAAAGTGAATTCCCTCTGAATCTGTGTGGATTTATACAGTACAAGCTTGCATTATTGCCAGTGGTGAAGCATCAAAGCATTTTGTTATTAGGGCAAACACATACTATTATTATTTAGTTTATTTTGTCCTGTAAGAGCAGGCGCGGCCTTTTGTAAATTTAATAAGGTGAATGCATCTGATCATAACTATTAACTACGAGTTTTCCCTCAAACTCCTAATTTGCTGCTTATTAATAGTTAATAAGGTAAGTGTTAAGTTTAGGTACTGGGTCGGGTTAAGGGATCTAGAACATGGTCATGCAGAATAAGACATTAATGTGCATACTAATAAGCTACTAATTAATTGTGAGAACTGGTCCTTAAAATAAATCGGTGTTACCGATATTTGTGTTATTTAGCATTATAAAACAGAGCGTTCCGGTCCTTGATTCTGATTGGTTGAGCTGCGTTCGAAGCTGTTGTAAATTACTCTACAAACACACACCTTTGTTTACTTCTGTGTGTTGCTCTGCAACTACTTTGTAGCAACCACAACTGTTTCTGAGGCGCTACATTGTTTGGTGGAAGAATACTGTGTTTATTAATATCATTACACTTTATTTGCTCTGTTTTATTTTGTGAAACCTTACTACATATATGGAATAACCGTTTTATAAAAGCAATAAGCCCCGTGAAGCCGTGGTTTACAGTGAATTTATAACAGCTAAGGGTTTTAGGCACTCCGCTTCGTGTCTAACAACGGCCCTCAGCTGTTATAAATTCACACGGTTTCACGCGGCTTACTGCTTTATTTAATTATTGCAGGTTTGCATCATATTCTGAGTTTGCACTTCACTGTTTTTTATTCATTTATACTGAATACTGAATCTGTTTTTGTGCTGTCAGTCAATGGGGAAACAAAGTAACTGGCCTTACTTATCTGAAAAAGTAACTATTTTCGGTAACACTTTATTTCGATAGTCCACTTTAGACATTCTATTAACAGTAAGTAACTTTGCAACTACATGTCAACTAGCAGTTAGTAGAGTATTAGTAGACTGTCTGCTTAATATCTTCTAACTCTTTCTTTGTTAACTTATTCTACTAAACCTAAACCTACCCTAACAGTCTACTCTGAGAGTTAGTAGACATGTAGTTGCAAGTTAATGAGAATTAGTTGACATGTAGTTGACACGTAGTTACAAAGTTACTTATAGTTAGTAGAATGTCTAAAGTGGACTATCGAAATAAAGTGTAACCCAATTTTCTTGTAAATTAAAAAGCAATGCGTTACTTTACTAGTTACTTGAAAAAAGGAATCTGATACGTAACTCACATTACTTGTAATGCGTTACCCCCAATACTGTATATAAGCAATACAATGATTATTAATAACAAGCCATATAATATGAGGAATCATTCATATCCAAAGCACAAACAGTGCAGGATGAGTTATACATAAGCAGACATTTAATAATAAAGGTAAGGTGTGCATTCACATTGTTAACTCTACAGTAATAGCACCACTAATTATTGCATTATGTAACACTTAACAGATCATTACAGTTTGCATTCTGCAGGAACGACTCAAATATTTTCATAAATATACCGATAAGGTTTTAATATTGCATTCATGAAAATTATTATACTGCCTTATAATATATCCTTTGGCAGCACTCGGTATACCTTTTTATTTTGGTGTTTTCTGTTATTTGGTTTCATTTTTAGACTATATATTTCAAGTGTCAGGCCATGGATGAACAAAATACTGAGTAAATCAGTTAGCAGCAGCATTATGATCTGTACTGTAAGAGTTTTCAGGGAATTCTTCTCCATTAAAGGCGCCATTCGAGTTGTTCATTGAAAGCACCTGTACATTATTATACATTATCTTCATTGGTCAATGAATGAGCGTTTTCATCCTGAAAAGCCTTTTATTATACCTACTCATGCTTCAATCCTCAGTCATACATTACTGAAGCTGAAAATCTTTTACATATACGTATATACTGTATATATATATATATATAGCCATAAGGAAGAACAAATGTGTATATGGGTAATGAACCCTTTATTTGTTGGTATTTATCTGAAGTCAGTATTAGAGGTTTAGAGGCTCACGGTCTGTTATGTATAATATAATGCTGCTTTTTATTACTCCATGTATATACGTCAATGTTGTGTTTACACAATACATAAAAATGTCCATCCAGTTATGAGCTAAATGTTCATTTGCATATGTTTTGGAATGTTATGAAAAGACTGTAATCAAGGTTAGGATGTCATATGCTGGCAGTTCAGTATACAGCAGTACATATGCTGAAATATTAAAAAAAATATATTCCCAACAAGCTAGTCAATAACTGCAATGAGTTAGTAGACATGTAGTTGCAAGTTAATGAGAATTAGTTGACATGTAGTTGACATGTAGTTACAAAGTTACTTATAGTTAGTAGAATGTCTAAAGTGGACTATCGAAATAAAGTGTAACCCAATTTTCTTGTAAATTAAAAAGCAATGCGTTACTTTACTAGTTACTTGAAAAAAGGAATCTGATACGTAACTCACATTACTTGTAATGCGTTACCCCCAATACTGTATATAAGCAATACAATGATTATTAATAACAAGCCATATAATATGAGGAATCATTCATATCCAAAGCACAAACAGTGCAGGATGAGTTATACATAAGCAGACATTTAATAATAAAGGTAAGGTGTGCATTCACATTGTTAACTCTACAGTAATAGCACCACTAATTATTGCATTATGTAACACTTAACAGATCATTACAGTTTGCATTCTGCAGGAACGACTCAAATATTTTCATAAATATACCGATAAGGTTTTAATATTGCATTCATGAAAATTATTATACTGCCTTATAATATATCCTTTGGCAGCACTCGGTATACCTTTTTATTTTGGTGTTTTCTGTTATTTGGTTTCATTTTTAGACTATATATTTCAAGTGTCAGGCCATGGATGAACAAAATACTGAGTAAATCAGTTAGCAGCAGCATTATGATCTGTACTGTAAGAGTTTTCAGGGAATTCTTCTCCATTAAAGGCGCCATTCGAGTTGTTCATTGAAAGCACCTGTACATTATTATACATTATCTTCATTGGTCAATGAATGAGCGTTTTCATCCTGAAAAGCCTTTTATTATACCTACTCATGCTTCAATCCTCAGTCATACATTACTGAAGCTGAAAATCTTTTACATATACGTATATACTGTATATATATATATATATAGCCATAAGGAAGAACAAATGTGTATATGGGTAATGAACCCTTTATTTGTTGGTATTTATCTGAAGTCAGTATTAGAGGTTTAGAGGCTCACGGTCTGTTATGTATAATATAATGCTGCTTTTTATTACTCCATGTATATACGTCAATGTTGTGTTTACACAATACATAAAAATGTCCATCCAGTTATGAGCTAAATGTTCATTTGCATATGTTTTGGAATGTTATGAAAAGACTGTAATCAAGGTTAGGATGTCATATGCTGGCAGTTCAGTATACAGCAGTACATATGCTGAAATATTAAAAATAATAAAAAAATATATATTCCCAACAAGCTAGTCAATAACTGCAATCCTTTGCTCAACAAAATAAACGTTAACAAAAAATATACATATGCATTCTGCTTTTCATTATATGACACTTTTTAAATTTGAGGACAGCTCAAAGCAACAACTTTTCAATCAAGTTTTTACCATTAAATGTAATCGCTTCTTTTCAGCTGTATTGTTTATAAAATGTCATCTGTTTTTGCACTTTTTATGCCTTGGTACTCAATAGCATTTGAGACTTTGTTTTAGCTGTTACCTGCTTGAATGATGGATGTGCAAGTTCTGTTAAATAGTGAGGTTTCTTCAAAATATATTCCCAACAAGCTAGTCAATAACTGCAATCCTTTGCTCAACAAAATAAACGTTAACAAAAAATATACATATGCATTCTGCTTTTCATTATATGACACTTTTGAAATTTGAGGACAGCTCAAAGCAACAACTTTTCAATCAAGTTTTTACCATTAAATGTAATCGCTTCTTTTCAGCTGTATTGTTTATAAAATGTCATCTGTTTTTGCACTTTTTATGCCTTGGTACTCAATAGCATTTGAGACTTTGTTTTAGCTGTTACCTGCTTGAATGATGGATGTGCAAGTTCTGTTAAATAGTGAGGTTTCTTCACAGATCAATCAGAGAAGAAATTGATCTTGTTTTACTGCTTTCAATAACTGTTAATCTCTGCTTTGCTCACGTGCTTTTGATTACATCCCATCATTCATGTCCTCAGCAGAAGTGTCTTGACACGAATATTTTACCCCAAAAATGAAAATTGTCACCATTTGCTTTCTTTCTCCAGTGGACCTCCTTCAAAATATTTTGAAATGTTTGAAATATTTAGTTGTTGTTGATGTTGTTTATATGTTCTGTTGCATAAATGCAGCCTAACTTTTCTATGTACACCAGTGTTGTATTATTTAGTGCTGATGTGCATCACGTGAAAAATAAATGAAAATGTGTCATTAACAGAGAATCATTTATTGTCGATATTTACAATTTGCAATAAAATAAATATGCTGTAAATGTACATTTATACATTTTCTTACAAAAAAATAAAAAATGGCTAGTGAAAGTTCAGCACACACCATTAAGGTGACTAAATGTTCACTTTTTTGCAGGCTTCTTGGCACCGCCCTTGGCTCCACCTCCTTTCCCTCCTTTTTCTTCTCCTTTCTCTCCACCTCCCTTTTTACCTTTCCCTCCATCCGACGTCTCTTTCTTTGATGCTCCTTTCTCTCCTTTTTCTCCCTTTTCCCCTTTCTTCTTTGTGGTTTCATCCTTCTCCTCTCCCTTCCCTTCTTTTCCTTCTTTTGCACCCTTGCCTTCCTTTTTGCCTTCTTTTTCTTTCTTCTTTCCCTTTTCTGCGTCAACCTTTCCTGCAACAGTTGGCACCTCCTCCTTCTCCTCAGGCTTCACCGCTAAACCAAAGAAAGAAAGAAAGAGCAGGATTGGGTCAACAGTACTGATATATCTGGTGAAATATTGAACTAATTTCCCCCATAATTACAAGGAAACAGCAAGTGACACTGAATTAATTGTAATTTGGAAGTATAAAGACTGAAATAGTATTTTCTTGAAAAACAGACTCTAATAATCTTTAGTTACAACTTCAAAAACCATGTTTTGCAGTGTACAGTCTCCACCGAATGACAGTAAATGTAAACAAAAAAAGAAGAGAGAAATGATACAGTACGGTGCAGAATTGCCCTCCTCTTACATTACATGTGCACATTTACTTTTTACTTGTACTTGGTTTTCAGAGATGCTATGTGTAAAATATTAACAAATGCATTTGAACTGAACTGTATTTTTCTACCATGTTTTCACTGGGATCAAATCGACCCGAAACAGAAGCAACGTTACACTCCTGGATGCCAGTCACATTTTTGCATGTCTATTTTGTTATACGGCTGAGGCTTTTTGCCAGAGGTTTACTGTGCATATAAATTAGTTCATTATTTTCCGTATTTATTTTTTACAGGTGGTTTACCTATATTTTGAATGTTGCACTCCATTGCTTTGTGCTTTATGGTTAACGGAAATGTCTGTCAAATTTCTGCATAATGTCCTGGCAGAAAATGACCAGTGCATTTTTTTTAGATATAAATATGAATATATAAATATTGATATATATATGAATATATAAATATGAAAAAGTACATTTATTATACCAGCAAAAGGTCACATCAAGACCCTGTTCCAGCAATGAAAATTACACAACACCGCACATCATGATTCACAAACTACAACAATAATTACTATTTTAAACATTTTCTTTCTGTCTAAAAAGATCTTTTACAATACGCTCCCTTCTTTTAACAAGCTCTCCACAACATATTGAGCAGACAGGAGAAACACTGATAGAGATGTTAGGAAAGATGTCCAAATGGAGCAGACAGCATTCTTATGTCAGTTAATTGGTTTCAGATTGATCAGCCGGCTGAAGACAAAAATATATTGTGTCTCTGGCCTAATACACAGGCTAAACCCAGGGCAACAAAAGGACGATTTTATAGCACTTACAGCATTTTCAAAACATACAATCAGCTTTCTTCAACCTTTTATACTATCTATATAATAATATTGATTTATTAAATATAAAAGTGTGAAGTTGTGTATTTTGAGATTTTAACAAAGCCGTTTCTCGTATATACTGTAAGCAAACGTACTTACAGAGGCTTGAGATTGTCCGAATCGCTCTGAATTCCATCAAACATTTTTATGGGAAAATGTTCCAACTGTAATATTTTCCCTCCCGCATGTTGCACACAGCGCATTCCTGCTCCGAGGGGCCATTCTTAGCAGATGATTGATACTAGGACGTGTACAAGCTCTGTGAGACACATATTTTTGTAATGTTTAATAACATGCATTTATAATTGGACCAAACATGACAGAATCCACATGTTAGACAGTAAACGGATGAGCAACCCAAAATTTGAGCTAAAGTAACGAACTCAACAAATAAATTAAATACTGTAACTTTCAATAAGCGATTCTTATGCAGTAGTTTATCACATTTAAACATGTCGCCTTCAAAGCGTTTGTTCAGGTGGAAAAATGCTTGTATATTTCCAAACACAGAGCAGCAGCCATTTGAAAGCTCACATAGGCTTTAAATGTGTCCATTCTGTCTGTCACGAAGGTGTAGAAATGCAATGCGACGTGTCATTGTGTATGAAAACTGTAATTTCCATTAATTCAGCAGCTATTAGCACAACAGTCACGCAGAACAAAACAATACATGCCACAGTTCATGTCTTAAAAATAAAACATGAAAGAACAGTGAAAGGCATGGAAAATATTACGTCTCTATACAGTGTAGACAGTGTTATTTGTATATTTTATTTCTGATGATTCTTGATTATTTACATCTCATTTTGGGGAGAAGATCATGCCTGAGTCATATTTCATATATATATATATTAAAGCGTATTTTAGGACCAGTGTTTTTATTTTTTTTTCAATTATGACGTCATTGTTATTTTCATGAAAGTTAAACACAATTTCCGCCAAATCCTTATAACTGTAACACTGTGTCCTGGCTACATTATTAAAATCCTAACTAAAATGTCTAACATGAAATGGCTGTGGTGAAAAAGTACCGTATTATTTGCTACGAAACGACAAAGGTTGTAGTCCGGAGGAGGTCTTTTCAATCTTAAAGGAGAACAGAGGGGTTTCCGTTGAGCTTTTCAGCTGCTGTATGTCCGTGTGGACGATGTTGTCTGTGTAAGTCAGCATTAAAGCACTGCAATCATCTAACAACTGTTCTGTGTCTAACAGCAATGAGCGGAAATCGCCTACACTGTAATTACAGACCAGAGCTTCATCTTCTCAAAAATGCCTGCTGTATAAATATTGACAAATGAAATATACCGTATTACTGGGACCCAATGCTTTTCTTTTTTCCATTTATTTATTTGTTTATTTCAACGTTGAAGCACAATTTTACAAATACAGGGCATATGATGAGGAACATCATTGGCAAAATAGATCTTTTGGTGTAACACAAGGCTGTAAAAACGACCTTTAATAGTAACCAGAGTATGTGTTCGGCTTAATCTTACAACTATTGGAGTAAAGTTTGAAGACAAACTTTGATGTTGGCTTGACAAAGCTTTGTCTGAAAGTTGAAAATAGCTTTTAAAAAGTTTTAAGGTTTTACTCAGAGAAGGTCAGTAAAATGTTGCTAACATGTTTTAGCACAATGCTAGCGTATCTTTAACATGTTTAACAGGTTGATAGATTTAGCAAGCTTTAGTATGTGGAAATATGTTAACACATTGCTAATAGTTAGCATGTTGCTAGCATGCTAATATGATTTAACATATTGCTAGCACTTTTTAGCATGTTGGCGGTATTATTTAACATATTAGCATGTTTTTAGCATATTGCTAACATGTACTGGCATGGTTTAACACAATACTAACATGTTTTAGCATGATTTAGCTCATTGTTAACATGTTTTCCCTGACCTAGGCATGTTTTCTGAATTTGTGTGTGATTGTTTATGGCATCCTCTGCAGTGGTTGGTTTAGTTTCACACTCACATCAAACCCGCGATGCATTCACGCTAATCTTGCTTCATCACATAATTTTGTGCTATTATGCGCAGTAGAGAGAGAGTGTAATGCAGGGGTCTTTAACTGAAATTGCTTGAGGTCCAGCAATGAACCCTCCTCACCAGCCGAGGTCTGGACAATTATATACCTAAAAACATGAATTGATGGGCTTTGCAGACCAGAGTATCTGCGGGATATTTAAGCTCATATTTAAGACTTTTTTGAAGACCTTTTTAAGACCTGCACAAATGAAATTAAAATTAATATAAAAAGCATGATTCACAACTCAGATACAGGCAGGGCCGGTTCTAGACATTTGGAGGCCCCCCCACACCTCCAATAAAAAGCACTTGAAACAAATATGATTCCTGTACAACCTTTCATTATACATTTTGTATATTTTTACTTATACAGTACCAGTCAAAACTTTGGACACATGACTATTTTTAATGTTTTTGAAAGAAGTCTCTTATGCTCATAAGGCCTGTATTTATTTGATCAAAAATAACAGTAATATTAACAGTATTTATAAATATTATTACAATTTAAAATAATGGTTTTCTATTTTACTGTACTTTAAAATATAACTTATTGCTCTGATGCAAAGCTGTATTATCAGCATCATTACTCCCGTCTTCAGTGTCACATGATCTTCAGAAATCATTATTAACAGTGTTAGAAACAGTTGTGCTGCTTAATATTTATTTTATAAGCTGTGATACTTTTGTCAGGATTTTTTGATGATTAAAAAGTTGTTTAAACAAATAAAAATATTTTATAACAATATAAGTCTTTCACTTTTTATCAATTTAACACATCCTAACAACAATATAATAATGGTTCCTACACCCCTACTCTAAATACATTTTCAGCACCTACAGTTTTTTTTAAATAACATTTTGCACAACCTAAATGGATTCCATGGCTTCCGTTTCTTCAATTTATTATGACGTAACATCTAACCTGCGTGGGGCAGATAGCCGTGAGGTTAATGATTTGGCCTGCGGGCTCAAAGGTCAGAGATTGAATCTCAAGGTTAGTAAGGAGTGTGAGGGAGACCCGTCTTGGACAATTACTGAGACGACTCCTTGTCTCTGCTCTTCAGTTGTTCCAGCAGTTCTGGGCCTGAAACCAGTCATGCTCTGGGTAATTCATTAAAAGCATGGAAGGCAAACATGGATAATGAAATACTTCAGCAAACACTTCTGCAAGCTTGGAAGTTTTCAAACCGATATTAATGCACAGTTTTGTGACAACAATCTACTGCTTAGAATCCAAGAACAAGCTTGACAAAAGAGACAAACCAACTAAAATAAGCATTTATACAACTGAACTATTTTCATTTTTTTATTCTAAATGGAAACCCAAACCAACAGTGTTGACTTTCAAAAACTCCCCAGTTATGAAGTAGTCTCGGGTTATTTGAACACATTCCATTTTTTTAAGATGATGTAATGATGTTACCGGTACTTTCTAGTAGCCTAGAACTAGAAACATCGACATGATACACTCATTGGCGTCAATCACTTCACTAAATACTTGCCGGCTAATAAATAAATAATTATGAATCCATCTGTTTTCAAATCCACATCATTTGAATATCACATATCTATGTCTGTCAAAAATCACGTGCATAACACATGGTAGTATTTACGGGAAGCAGAGTTCCAGCGAGTGCACGCATTGCCTGGAAAACCTACGCTACCAAATGTTTTGACTACGTCATCGCTTTCCAAGAAGAAGGCAACTAAAATAAGCATTTATACAACTGAACTATTTTCATTTTTTATTCTAAATGGAAACCCAAACCAACAGTGTTGACTTTCAAAAACTCCCCAGTTATGAAGTAGTCT